TTTTTCTGTCAAACTCATCAACAATGCATTTTAAGGGACCAACAACATTTATCAATTTTTCTATCATACATTTCATCAACTTTTATCAAAATCTACTAAAATTTTAATTTTTAACTAAACCAAACAGGGGCTATACTTCAACTTGGAAGACAAACGTTTATTTTGTCAATCACTGAGTACCCCTGAGCATCAATACTGAACCTTGCATGTGCTTGTAAAGCCTATAACATGTGTCAATCTCAAGCCCGATGGAGTAACCTCAGTTCCATAACCTATAACAATGAACTTACGTGATATCGCCTGCAGTTGAAGGAAATCCATATTCATCAAACAGCCTCATGAGATCACCAAACTGTCCATGCAGATCACCAAACACTTTGACAGGAGCTTTCAGTTGAAGAACAGTTGGCTCATGCATAAAGATCTGCTCAGCTGCATAACAAAGCTCACCAACTTCATAGGAGTCCAGAAAGAATTTTCTGTTCGAAGGAGGTTTCCAATTTCGAGGCCTAAGCAAAGTAGATATGATCTGCAGCAATGCATGGCAAATGAGAACTAGGATAATTTCTTTTTTATACATATTTTGTTTACTCTATTCTTCTTTTAAAGGCGGAAAGAAAAGAAGGGAAACTTAGTAGAACTTGCCTTTTTATGCAAGCCTTGAGGAGACTTCTGCCTCGTAAATATTTTGGTTGGATGTGACAAATCATTAGGCAATGGAATCATTCGTCTACTTTCATTTTCAAATTGATCCAAAGATAACTGCCTAACCATACCTCCCAAGTTCCCCACAGCTTCTTTTGCAACTACAACCTGTATAGCATAGATGATAATAAAGCTTACACGCTCTAATGTACAAGGTATACCATACATAAATCACAACATCGTGAACAAACATACCGCTCTAGGGTGAAGGCGGACATCAGCCTCAGTGTCACTACCCTCTGAAATGGTCTCTGCAGCTTGTGAAGCGTCATCTGATACAGATGTTTCTTCAGGAGTAGCTGCTGCTGCCTGAGCTGCTTGCCAGACAGCATTAGCCGCCTCAGCTTCAGCAGCGGACGCCTCAGCCAGTTTCACCATCGAATTTTTGTCCGTGCTGTATGAAGAAAAAAATAGTTATTGCTTAACTTCCTTAAAACCACATGATGAATTTAAAAGGCAGGCCATGGGATCAAACCTCAAACCACCAGATGAGGGTATTTCAGATCTTCCATCTTGAGTTGATGTGGAAGAATACGAAGTTAAACTTGAATTTGATGCCGGATTTTTAGATGTCAAACCCCTGTCAGATTGAAATGGAGAATTCTCTGCAACCAGAAGATCATCAAACAAAGTATCTGCAAAAAATAAAAATAAAAAATCAAAGAGTTGGTAAATATAAATATAAAAAATAGGAATATTAGATGCAAAAAATATAATTTGAACTCTGTATACCAATTACACATTTATTATATCATACAACCATCTTTTCAATCAATAAAGATCATATTGCAGCCACGTTGCCAAATGAAAGATGTCAATTTCAGCAGTAAGTTAATGGACACCTCTTTCCTTTGCATGATTACGTTCCTTATAAATTGTCATGAAATCTTTTATTTCTAAAAGCTTGAATGCATCAGTGGTGTGAGATGTGTAGTAGGAAATTACACAAAGCTGTAACAGTGTAAAATTTGCTCACAGAAACAGATGTGTCAAACAATATTTGCTGCAACATGGTCGTGCACATCTAGATTCTGATGGCATGTCCTGATGAAGTTAAAAGGGGATCAGAAGATGACAGGATACCTCAGCTAATTACAATCATTACCTCCTCTCAGACCACCATAAATATATATTTGGACACCAACAGATGCAGCTGCATGGCGACATCGACGCATAAGCTCCAAAGAGGGATCATGCTCAGCGTGTCCTTTGTTACCACGTGAAGTCACCAGCCCATTTCTGTCAAGCCAAACCCCAGCAGCAGTATCCAGTACTTCAAAAAGAAAAAACCATGAAAATTAATGTAGATACTTTTCATATGAGTAAATAGAATAACAATTAGAAAAGAAGTCTGAAAAGTTACCTGCACTCGCTGCTTCACCTTCTACTGCTCGTCCGCCTTTAAGAGCGCCGCCGGTAACGTGCAATCTAGCACCAACAAAAACCTGATAAAAGGAAATAGTTCAATTATTGAAGAATAAGGTGCAAAGAGAGAAGAGTATGCCATCAAATCTAATCCTTTAAAACCTTTAGACCCCTCATCAGAAAAAAAATAAATAAGAACAAAAGATTTTCACAATATGGTTTTTGAAATGGTGAGAAACACTTTTAGTGGACACTGATGAGGCCCGAACCAACCAAACTCCAGTTTCCCAAGTGAGATTAAATAGAAAAGTTGATCTGAAAGTTTTTGAATACTTAGCTTAATCATGCAAACCGAAAGATAGTAATGTCGTGGCCAGTATAAAGTTTCTTAAAAGTTGAGCAGAAAAGAGTAAAAAGGTATAAATCCAGAGAGCCATCCTTCCTCATGCAGCAAGTATTGTAGATGTAGCAAGAAAAATTCTCTAACACATCAGCCTTTGTTCGGCTATTTTATATTCTTTTCCAAAAATCTAATTCAGTTTCACTTAAATCAAGTGCCAAAGAAATCCAGATTGAACAGAACTTACTTCTCACAAATCAGAGGAATGAATTCTGATTGAGACAAATTAGCAACATTTATAATCCTAAGAATGAATAACAGAACTGAAATTTCAGAGTGGAAGCAGCACCAGCAATTAATCATTAAATAGATCACTTACTGCTGCATGTTCATATCTTGGGGAAGGTGACACGCCTGGTGCAAGAGTCCACTCCCATTGGCCATTCCTATGCATAAGCAGTCCATAAGCATCTGCAAGCGGCTGTGAGACATACATTCAACTACGAGCTCAGTAAAACACACATCGTCAAGTAGGCCTCAATATTAAAAACTTCAAATTAGTTAACAGGAAGAGAAGAATCTGTGCTCTACGGGTTCTATTGAGGAGATAAAATGGCTCATCATCTGTGCTCTACGGGTTCTATTGAGGAGATAAAATGGCTCATCATTATACCATTGCTTCAAGATATTAGCATTAACTGGTTGAAATTTTCATTCTCATCCCCTACAAAACTCATTAGAGACAACAGACAAGAACCTTATGAATCTAAAAAATGTTAAGCACCTTAAAGCAAGTCCCTCTCCTTTTCTAAGATCTATT